CCCCCCCCCCCCACTTATCGAGCTGGCTACGCCTCTGCCTGGCAAGGGGAATAAATTGAAAATTTTGTGGTTTTCATCCCGGTCTCATGTAAACGGGGCCTTACAAACTGTGATTCAGTATCATGGGATGAAATTAAGTAATTGAAAGATTTTATAAGTGAGCAATGTTTAAAAGCAATATATATAAACAATGAATGTAATGGCACTATCAGAGCCACAACTTCTCCAGAAAAGTGTAAAATCCCATGATACTGAATCACAGTTTGTGAGACAATCATTCAAAAGTTAGCTAAATGTTTCCAAAACTTCATTCAATATGATTTTGTAGTACACCCATCCCAAGATCCGTCACTAAATTACGTGTTGCCTGATAGATATAATTCCTCAAATCATGATTTTTAAAATTAATTTGACAGACATTTTCAATCGCATGGATTATTGGGTCATATTTCTCTGCTATTTAGCCTTAATATTGTAGGCATTTTCAGGAAAGGAAGTGCAAACAAGCGCATACAATAGCAATTCTTCTTCAACTAATGCGCAACCACTTCTAAATAGCAAGAAAGCTGAATGACTGTAGGGGTATGGATAGCTTTTTCATGGGCTCTGCTCAATTTGTATGTTGTAACTTATGTCGAGCCATTGCAAGTGAATTTAACAAAGCCCAGTAAACAAAATTGACAAAAATATACACGATAAAGTTGCACATTTCAAGTTGGAGTTTGGTACTGTCTATTTCAACTGTCAATTCGATATCGAACTTTGATAGGTTCAAAACCTATCTGTCTCATTTTTGCTCACTTCATAATTTTGTATATACGCAAAGGTTTTCATCATAACTTAATAACAAATTGTAATTTAGGTTTTGGAAATCATTGGTTTTTTATCAGGAAGCAGTGGGCGCTAACACTCTCTTACAACATTTCGACGGCCATTTTTAAACACCAAATTAAACAGAGTATAGAAATAATATAACACCAGGAATAAACGTTTTCGTTACTTAAATCTTATCTTTAAATTTATTGTAACAGCTACAAGTAACAAAAACATATAAATTTTACACAAATAATATTTTATAAAGCAATGGTTTAAGCCTTCCTTCTGATGGGTCATATGCTTCGCCATATTTGTTTACAATTAGAACGTCTTACCTCCCGCAAATCCCGCATCACGGATGGTCCCAAGACTTGTATTGCCGTTTCCACGCCCTCCCTCCCTTCGCCCTGGTGGTCATAGTCCATTGAGTGGCAACGTACGAAGTGCAGTCACGTTATTTTATACACTAAATTATGGCCTTTACAGGGCCAAAAACTTTGTTAAACTTTACGTCGAGTTTCCGAGTCAAAATAATTTACAAGCAGTAGCAAGCAAAACAATAAACGATATCCTTCAAATGCGCCTCAAATATTACATGTCGCACGGCGCTTATATTTTGTGTTCAGCGCATAGTATGCGCGCACGACAACAATGCAATGCGCTAAAATAAAATTTACTTCAAACCCCCCTCTCAGCACAAATTAGAATGCTTCTTCGCTCGCTCGCTTCAGGCTCGCTCGCTACGCAGCAATCAAACAATCAATCGACCTATGTGCATTATTAAAGCAGTGCAGAAGAAAAGAAAACGAACTAATATCTAATGCGTCATGCCAACCAATAGGCTTCAAACAGAAGAAAACAGATTTTATGGTTTTTCAAATTAAATTAAAATTCACAAAATTTAGATCCAATTAGATTTACTTTCAATAATTTTTCACAAAATTCCCGACGGTGTATTATTCCAATCGTATTTGGCCATTTTCTCTTATAATGTTATAAAAGTGTCATTGGACAACTAAAAGCCTGAATTTTCTCGCTGTGTATAAATGTTATCGATAAATTCGATATCTAAAACAGGGAACTTGTTCAAGTTGGATTACCTTTTTATACGCTCCAATCTGCTTTAGCTGGTATCTTTCAATCGTGATTAAATAAGTGCTTCAATCAATCAATCAATACCCCTATATAATCGGTACTACATGCAGTATACTGTATTGCAAATATATGCATACTTATGCCTATAGTACCAACTACGACAATATATGCATTGGTCCAAGTATGCATTTAACTGTTCAATAATTATTTGTGTTTTACTAAAAGCCACAATAGCACTGCATTAAGTAGTTTTTGCTCGAATTTGTGTGCTAGAATATTTTTGTCTTCCGTGTAAAGCAAAACAAAGAAAAGTACACTTCCATTATGCAAAAATTATTTCTACTATCAATGACAGTGGCAATTACAGTGGTAATCACTGTGTTTCAGATATGGTCGGAAATTCGAGCACTCTGTCTGTACCATTTCTGGTAGCAAGGATAGCCGCAAAAGACACGAAATGCGTCTCATTTCCAAACTTGCCACCGTCCACCCCTTTGGAATCAATGACAGTTTTTCCTATGTTTATATCTATCTGTGTAAAGCACACCTTGACAGTACTTTTAATTAATATCTTATTCCGTACTTGTTTCATATATTCTGTTGTGTTTTCTTATAATTGTATTAATATATTCTGTAATGTGATTTACATTTTTTGTTTATATTTTGTATATACTATAAAATCCATCTGAACGGTTTATTTTTTACCTGCGTGATCGCTTTTATATTCTTAGTATAAAAGCTAATGTAATTTTCCCCACCCTCGCTATAGTATCCAACTTCTCCATATAGTTTCAGGTAGTTCCATCCTTATCAACAAAAGCTTCTTCATTTTATGCCTACATATATTATATACATGCAGTATGCAGTGGCAATGGATAAAACTACACACGTAAAAACGCACAAGTTTGTTTCAAGTCTGTTCACAAGCTGTCAATAAGATGTATTCGCACTGCTTGTCACAAGTTGTCAACAGGTTTGGAACACTTGTTGACAACTTGTAATAACCTTGTCGAAATTATCAGACTTGTACGTTGCAAGGTTGTTCTGACAATCTGTGACATGCTTGATATAACAAGATTGTTACAACCTTGTGTTGACAACCTTGTAACATCCTTGTTATATCATGCCTGTAACAAACTTGTTAGCACAATCTTGTAACAAGGCTGATGATGCCATCAAGCTTGTTAAAAGTTGTTATAATTAACAGCTTGTTTCAACCTTGTTACAGCAAACTGGGAACAAACAGTGCGTGCACAACTTGTTGACAACTTGTGAACAGACGTATAACAACTTGTTTCAAGATTTAATTGTTACAACTTGTGGGTTTGACGTGGGTGGGGCGGGGGGAGGGGGAGTCAGATTAAAAAAAATACATGCAAAGAGTGGAATTTGAAAACAATTTTATGCAAGCGTTTAGGAAAAGAAAAACTTCTTACAACTACATGGAGTATACAAATTCTTCAGTGGGACAAAATGGATTTAAACTATTTCATTTATTGCAATGGTGGAATAGATAGTAAGCACTTGCGCACCATTCAGAGGTAACTTTAAACAGCAGCAGGAACTTTTTAGGTTCGAATAGTGAAGCGAATATTGCGAACAGTGCGAATAGTCAAAGAATAGTACGATTATTCCGCGAATAGTCAACGAATAGTACCAATAGTCCGGGAATAGTGCGAATTGTCGGGGAATAAATTAAAAATTTACGAAAAAACTCGACGTAAGTTCAAAATTCATAAAGAGCTTGGCAACAAAGGTGTGTCAGGTATTTTATATTTCCTCTTCGTTACACCTTCTGGTAATTCAATTCTTAGGGGCCGATTAAATGGACCACTTTCAACCACAGGGTTGAACTCAGCCTTTTTAACCGGGTTGAATTTTTTTGGGATTACAAACACGTTCCCAGTATTGATCACCGGAAGTAAAAAAAATGCTTCCATTAATGCTCATGAATAATTTCAGCCCTGTGTTGAAACGATTACATGACAACTTTTTCAACCAAGGACCGAGTTCAACCCCGTATTTGAAATTTCAACCCCGCTAGCTGAAGCAGGGTTGAACCTTCAACCCCGGGGTTGAACTCGGCCATGGGTTGAAAATTTTGTCATGTAATCACGCGTTTGATTTTAATTGAGTTTTGTATTACTGACAGGTCTGAAATTCAACGTCGTTCCCAGGGCCTTTTTTGAACATTCGGCGATGGTAAAAGGCCCTGGCACCGGCTGGCCTTTTACGTATTCCGATTGGTCAATGACAAGTATATTATTATGCAATCTTGGATTAATTTATTCACACTTTTGGACAAATTAACATTTTCACGCAAGGAGTGCCATTATACCTTTATCTGTCTAAGAAATATTTTTTGCATATTATCAGTGGCAAAAAGGTTAAATTCGATAAGATTTATACACGATTTGTCGAAGGTTAGTATTATTGTTTATTTAAACTGTGAAAGAACACGAGTTTTGTACTACAACACACCTCTGGTCAAGTATTTAGGGCAAAATGTATCTTCATTGGCTTCGTATAGCGTTTATCTTGTTGTGTACAAATAATTTCTTGTATTTAAGTCAGTAGTCTGAGTTTATAAATATGACCTTTAGTTTTTGATATTCTTCATATTTAAAGTCGAATTTAAATTGGCCTAATTTATAGTTAATAACATTAATAGAAATGCGTCGATATTTTGTTATATGCAACACTGTTTACAACTTTTGAATAATGATATATGATTTGATTTTATTTCATTTCATTAATTTCTTTTCATTTCATTTCAGAGACTAAAATTCATTCAGAAATTGTGCAGGGTAATTGGCTTCATTTTTACCATAATTGTGTTATAAAAGTGATTTGCTCATTTTACTGTTGTTACAGTTTCTGAAGTGTTTTGTTCTGATGGTATCAGAACAATTTCAATATGAAAGTGCAGGTGCCTTTAGACATCAGCCACAATGTATATATTAAAATACCGATAAAATCCGTTTCCAGCTTGATTGTGTTGTTGCAGACAAAGTTGTGCAAAGATGGGCTTATGTCGATGTGTATGCATGTACTTTGATGCCTCAAGAAATGCTTCAAGTACTATTTAAAAAACGAGCAGGAGTGTTTTATTAGGTTTAAAGTCACAAGCGCGCAGCGCGAGTGGCTTTAGACCTAATAAAGAACGACCTGCGAGTTTTTTAAATGGCTTCAAAAACGTTTGCATAATAAATCAAATCTTCATATAAAAATCTTTATATAAAAATCTTTATATAAAAATCTTTATATAGTTTGCATAACAATGGTCTTTTGTTAAAGTGTTCTTTAGCTGGTTTGAAGACGTATGCACGCGACTAATTTCTTACTGAAGATTGGATAATTGCTTCATGAATTATTAATGAGTTTTTGAAATGTGTAATAAAGGGCTGTTCAGAGGAGTTTGGCTGGCTGGCCTTGAATTCTACTTCTGGAAAACTTCTGCATGCATTGTTTTTATGATGTTTTATTTTTTAATTGTATTCGCATGGCTAGACCAACCAGGTTACAATCAGGCTTGAAAATCAGGTTACAATGCATGCTTGAAAATATGCAAAATTTTTACTTTGCTGCTAATAATATTCCAGAAAATCCTGCGCCTCTCGGGCATGTCTGGACTGATTTGTTAGAAGGGGCGGAGGTTTTCCAGGGGTGGTGCATTACTACAGGGGTCAGGGGCATTCTCTCAAAAAATCAATCATTTCAAATATAATAAGTAGTATTCATAACTCAAATATGGAATACCAGAGTTTTCTTCAAGGGGATGCTGGACACCACTAGGCAGTGCACACAACACCCCTGCACTACACCGGTACACCCCCTGTTTCCTGTCATTTTCAGCTTGCATGCTTCGTTTTGAAGCAAATTACATCTGTGATCTCGCAAGTGGAACTAGCCAAGGGTGCTGGGTCAGAGTCAAACTCATGTGAACAGCTTCTAAGTCCTAATTATATTGATAATTATGTACACTTTAGGTTGGTAATGCACAGCAATTTGTAAAATATTTCACATTTTATTTAATAAAAATTAATTATATACATTGTTTTCCTGTTTATATTAACACCTTGTACTTGGACAATGTAACCATTCTAAGCCAAAGACATTTTATAAGAAACAATTATCAAGGGTATTCCATGATAAAATTATATTTAAAAATAACTGCTCTCCATGTGCATCTAACACATGATTCAATTCTTGCATTTACCAAGTAAACCCAGGGAATTTCACTTCTCCCTCCTCCCATAGAATTCACTTGAAGTGACTGGGGCATGCTAGCTATAAGTATAAATAGGGATATAAAAATCAATTAATTTAAATTTTACAAATGGAGCTTTTTGAATAGACCAATGCAAAAGTTTTATTAATTTGTTTAACCCATTATAGTGGTAATTACTCCATCTAATGCAAGATGATTTCACTCATCAAGGGGAAAATGCTGCCACTCAATATATTAATATATTCTCAGAACAGTTACCATCAAATTAAATAGATTTTGCTGGCAAAATATCCCAATTTTAGGACTATTCAATATTTATACACTATGGTAGAGTGGGAAAAAAAGGAAGGTGGTCGTTGATTTGTTGAGTCTTGTTGGGAGGGGGGAGGGGGGAGTGAAAAAACAGAATTATAACTGGTTTCAGAAAATATTTGACTACATATTAGTTACCATATGATATGAAATTACATTGATACTATTAAAACACTATAAGTAAGAAATTTAAAAAAAAATAAAGGATGAATTGTTGTAATAGAGATATAATGCTGTGCTGAGTGGTTATATTACTACCTTAAAAAATAAGTAGAAACTCAAATTTTTTAAGGTAGTAATATAACCACTCACACTTAATATCACCACCAATTTTTTAAGGTAGTAATATAACCATTCAGCACAGCATTTTCACATTGGCACTACCAACATTGGTACAGACAGTTTTAATAGAGATATACAATTTTAAGACAAATCATCTAAAGGAAGCATTCATTCTTGCTCTAATAGTGTATGTTGCAAAAAGTTTTTTCTTCATAGGCAGGCATTCACATGAATGAAGATTAGAATTGCATCATGTTATATAGTCTCAAATATTTAGGGGGTCTCCATTATTAAGAGATTAAAAAGGCGGTCCCATTACATTTTGACATAAGAATCTCCCACCCCACCCTAGGGTATAATAAATGGTCCCATAAAGTACATGCCATCTTGCTAACTAGATCTAACTGGCTGGACACCTTTCCCCTTTTGTGATGTGATGGAAAATCTATTCCCTTTTAATACTTTATCCCTGGGAACAAAAATTCAAATCAACTCTCCACCCTGATAATGTGCAGATGGTAACAGCAAGAATTGAAGCATGCAAGCTTTACTGGGGAACATACTATTAGAAGCACAATTTGCACACGCTAATTTGCCAGTCATGATTTTAAACATAATATTTCTTATCTCATATAGAATTCTTAAGGTCTTGTTCACATTTTACTGGAAGCAAAGTAACATCTTACTTTGCTTCCAGTAAAATGTGAACAAGACCTTGTGAACAAGTCATCATGTCCAATAAAAATCTGTTTTGGGTCATATCACTCATATGTCAGATTTGGAGCTTCAAAATCATTTGGCTGCGAAGAAATCGTAAACAAAGAAAGAGCATACAGAACTACCACTTCGTCTGTACTTAAAATATCAATG